AGTACGCCTACACCTCCACCACGGCCGCCGAGCTGCTGGCCGTCCTGTGCAAGAAGCTCGTGCCCGCCTGCACCACTGGGGACATCGAGGTCGCCTACCAGAACCGCCTGGTGCACCTGGACAAGCCCGAGGGCTTGAGCGACATCCTGTCCCTCGACTGGGTGACGGAGCTGTTCGACAGGGCGATGTCCGAGGAGGTCGAACAGGAGGTCGCCTCCGCCAGGGCCGTGAAGGCCGCCAGGGCGGAGTTCAAGAGGGACTTCGACACCTTCAAGGATGCTTGCATCTTTTGTATTGTTTTGTAATGTGTGTTCCCGCCTGCTCGGTTGCTTCATTGTCGCATGTTGCTTTCGTCGTGGCGGCCCTCAGTTTCCCCGACGCGAGCGGGGCGAATGTGCTTGCGCCATCGAGTCGCGGCCCCCCGCCCCGCCGCGAAACCTTGCCGATCGGAGGACACATCGCTGCACCGTCGGCCGTTTTCAGCGGCAGGCTTGCGATGGGGCGTCGGGTTCAGGGGGCGCCCGAAGGGGGGCCGCGCGGGACGTCAGGGGCCTCGGGGCGGGAGGGGGAGGGAGCGAGGGAATGCAGCAGCGGTGGCGGAGGATTGCGTGGATGGTAGGAGACGGGGTCGAGGGCCAGGGCGGGAGGGCGCATGAGCGGCCATCGAAACACTACAGCGCGGCATCCACGGGAAGCCGCCGCCGAACGCCAACTCGAAGAAGCACCCCTTGTACAAGCAGAAGTTCCCCGATCGGCCCCCGTCCCCAGCGGACGACATGAGTCAGGAGGATGCGAAAGTTTTTTTCCCCCCTGGTACATATTTGTGGAGAGCGAACGGCTCGGGCACATGGTGTTTCAACATGCCTGCCATCAAGCACCATGGTCGTGCCACCTGGGCGCAATTCGGGGGGAGTTCTTTTTTGGCCCTCAAAGACACCATGCGGAACGCGTGGGTTGCCTACCTTGAGGCCCATATGCTCCCCCTGGCCCACTGCCCCATCAAAGGGCTGCTCGGTGACTAGGTGATGGGGCCCCTGGCAAGTGTCAACTCGGAGTTTAGAACATCAGGACTTCCATGGGCGTTCATCGGGGTCCCCCATCTTGTCCCGTTGCACCCTGGGGCGAGCATGCCATTCTCATTATTTAGCCTGCAGGGGTGCTCTCGGTCGTAGGGGCGGCCAGGAGCGACGGGCGTCCACGCAGCTGATGCCTCGGTGGATGGATTGTGTTGCTTCGGATGTTGTTGGAAAACGGTATCGGGTCCACCCCGCCTCGCCGTCGCCCTCGGCCCCTCCCATCCCCCTCCAGCGGTTCCCCCAGGCGGCCCACCTTACTTCTCACCCGCGGGGGCCCAGTCCCAGTCCGAGGTTGTCATGGCACCGCCCGTTGCTCGCCCCCCGCCCGTGCTCGTGTCCAGAGCCCACGTTGGCCACAGCATCAGAGGGCAACCCTTTTTCTTCTGCCCATTCCCGCCTTCGCCGCAGCGGGCCCTCGGCCATGGCGAGCGCCGCCGCGGAGCCAATGCTCCAGTTCAGCATCGAGGAACGCCATCCGCGACGCGGATGGCGCCAGGGTGCACCCCCCCCCATGGATTCTAAGTTGCGCGAGGTCGGTGCCACGCTAACCGCCAAAACGTGCGTAGATTTTTTTATTCCATGGAGTACGGGGTCGGCCACGGATTTGGAAATGGGGCCATTTCAGAGATGAGGTGCGATGGGGTTGCGTCAGAGTGGCGGCGTGGAATGAGGGGGAGTGCAAGTTGTGTTTTTTTAACGGGGGAGGGGCCTGACTTCTTCTCATGGGCGTTTCGGGAGCGGGGGTTGATGTCTGGCGGCGTCGCGGGTGGCTCTGCCTTCGCGCGTTCCCTCAATTCTCAGAGGCACCCCGAGGTCACCTGGGGGGCCATGTCGCCAGCTCGTTTCTGGTCCCTGAGCCCAGGAGCTGCGCCGCCAGAACAAGTTGCGCCTGTGCACGTCCTTCGACTACGGGCAGGCCGTGGTGTACGGGCCCTCGTACGACGACGGCACCTTCGAGAACAGCAGGGTCAACCACGCCGTCGTCGGGTACACGGTCGCCCCCATGATGGACGACATCAAGGATTGGATCGCCACGAAGCTCTGGGGCCAGGGCGGATACACGTCTAGGTGCAGCGTGACAGGCTGGTGCATGGAGGGGCATTGGTTCAACCGCTCGATCATCGCCAAGTTCCCTGGCTGCGCGGGCGGTGGCGTGGTGTACCGCGCTGGGGACTGCAACGCCCACGATTTGCTCGTCGTGGAGGGCATGAGCCAGATGAGCACGGCCCAGAGGGTGATGGCCATATGCGACTTGCTCAACAAGTTCACCTTGGCGATGGACGTGTGGGCCGCGGAGGAGATCGCCGCCAACCAGTACGAGGTGGCGCCCGAGACCATCGAGAACTTGATGTTCATGACGAAGCGCTGGTTCGAGGAGGGCGTTCAGAAGTGCATCGACTTGAAGGTGGAGCGGGCCGTCCTCGACGCCAGGGGCCAGTTGCGCTTGCTGAAGTCGTCGTCCAGCTGCCCCGAGGATGGGGCGGGAATGCGAATGAAGAGGAGGGTGGTGATGATGAGGATGGTGGTGCGTAGTGGGGGATTTTGAGGCGCAGGCTGAGCAGGGGGACGGGGGTGGGAACGGGGGGTGACGAAGTCGAAACGGTGACGACGCTGATGGTTACGATGACGACGACGACGGCGTCGGCGACGGCGATTGCGACGGCGACGGCGTCGGTGAAGGCGACGGCGACGGCGAGCTCAACGGAGTTCGACGACGACGACGACGGCGACGACGACGACGACGACGACGACGGCGACGGCGACGGCAACGGCGAGGGCGACGGCGACGGCGACGGCGACGGCGACGGCGACGGCGACGGCCTGCCGAGAGGAGCCCAAGAGCAAGAAGCGCCCGAAGGCGGCGCCGCAGTCGTGAGCGGTGGCGGCTGCGACCCCGCCCTCCACTCGGAGGCGGGAGGTGGGTCGGCCACCCTCCTCGCTCTCCCCATCCCGTCCCCTCTCCCCCGCCCGCCTGGCACCCGGTGCCCAGCTCTCGCCCTCCGACCTCGCTCCCAACCTTCCCCGCCGTGCCCGCCCCCCGCCTCCGCTCGGTCGCGCGGCGGCCAGCTCTCGTTCGAGCTGGCGGGGTCGAGCGCCAGGGATTGCGGCGCGCACGCGTCGTGAAGTGCGGCGCCCGCTGCATGTGAATTAACATGACGTGGCGGGCTGGGTTGGGCTGCCGATTAGGACGGGGGGCACGGGGTGCAGAGTAGGAGTGGTTGTGCGGACTCGGATGGGAATGGGCGGGGTAGGGCGTGGATCAGGGTAGGGCCGCTACGAACGGGAAGTTAGGATGAGGCTGGATTGGAAGGGCGTGGCGCCGGGGGGCCAGGACGAGCGTGATTGGGGGGGCGTCGGTTGCAGCGGGGGTCAGTCGGGGGATGGATGGAGCGGATGGGGGTCGGGCATGACACGCGATGAGGATGAGGGTGGGCATGTGATGATGATGATGGGGACGGGGGGAGGCGGCGAGGATGAGGAGAGGAGGTGCAATGCGACGGGGGAGGGGTCGCGGAGGGAATGGGGATAGGATTGCAATGGGGACGATGAGGGTGATGAGCGACAAGAGGATCGCAATGATGCGTCGGGCGAGGAGGTTGGATGTGGAGGGTCGGGGTTGTGAGCGTCTAGCGCTTCGCGCATCGCCGCCAGCCCATCCACGCAGGGGGGAGTGGCTGGGGGGTTGTTCAGATCGAGGGGGGCATTTCACTTTCTGGAGACATCGGGGAGCCTCCGTGGGCAGGGGGCTGCTCGACTGATTTCGGAGTCTCTTGGGGTGCCTGTCGGTGGATTCTTGGATTCTTCCTGGGGGGTCTCGGGGGCTTGGCGGTAGTCGGGACCTCGTGGGGCGTTTGGGTGCTTCTTGGGAGCCTCCTGGAGCTTCTCGGTCGGTGGCCGCTTGGGAGCCTCTTTATGGGCATATATCTGGTGTGCCTCTTAGCAGCATCTTTGAGCTTTTCTGGTGTCCTTGAGGCCCTCTGGGGGCCCTCCTGGTTTATTTCGGGCCGTCATGGAGCGATCTTGGCGGCCACGGGTCGAAGAAACGATATCCCCCAAGTATTTTCGATCGTCCCCAGGGTGCCAGACTGGGCCCAATATTTGGGGTAGGCAATGGTTTTGCATGTTTCGCCGAACCCTTGATTGATGCTCGACCTACCCGCGACAACCCCCCGTCCGCCCAGACCCAGAGGGAGAGGGCAAGGGGATGGCAAAACCTTCCCCCCGAAGGGAGGTAATGGAGTGGGCGGAAGAGGAAACGTGCTTACCCGCCTCAGCCTACAGGGCTTGCGGAAATCCTTACTTTCCAATGCCCTCTCTAGTTTTCTTCCCTCCTCGCCTCCCGTTCCTTCTCCGCCCGCGCCGTGCCGCCTCTGTCACTCTTACCCCCCGCACCCCCGCCCTTGCCCTTTTTGCCCCCCCCCCCCTCGCCCTTGGATCGACCCCCTGACGTGCGTTTGCTAGTGCCTCCTAGTCCTCATCAGGGTCGCCCTTGCTGTTTCGCTCCTGCGTGCATGGAGGCTGCCGCCTCGAGGCCCGTCCTCTCGGATCCTCCCGACGCTCCGGAGACGGGGGGGGGGGTGTCATTTCTCGTTATCATATAAGATACACGAACATGCAATCCGTAGTATTTTGAGTCCGTGTTGGCTCGAGTTCATCCAGGGACTTTGAAAGCCACATTTGCTTACCTGACCGAAACGCACACACACATCACGCCTGGGAGGCATCTAGGCAGAGCCTTCTGCGATGACTTTCATGAAGGGTGGATTACTGATGGTGCTATCTGTTGTCCAGAGTATGGACACCGCACTTTCTGCGGGGGTGGCAGCGGGATGGCCATGGCGCTCAAGAGCGCACAAGAAGACGACTCGGCATACTCCAATGCTCGACACGAGTAACGCCACGGTTTTACGCAGCGCGGCGAAGGCGACCAGTCTGGCACATGCGCCGGATGGGCAGGTCACTTTAGACTTGGGCGACGGTGGCGACCCCATCGCAGTCACGTTGTCCAGTGGGAGGGTCGTCATCCAAAAAAGAACCAGTGGCAGCATTGATTTCTTCAGGGGGTGGTCCGAGTACAAGTCGGGCTTTGGCGACAACGACAACTTCTGGCTCGGGAATGACAACATCCACCGTCTCACTGAAGCGTCGAGCGAGATCGAGCTGCGGGTGGACCTAGTGGACGCCACTGGTCAGCCGGGGCACGCCACGTATTCCAATTTCCACGTGGACAGCGAATCGAACCTATATCAATTGACAGTCGGCGGGTATTCAGGAGACATCGGAGACAGCCTGGCCATCCACAACGGGCGCAGCTTTACAACCAGTGATCAGGACAACGACCTTGACCAGCAGGGCAACTGCGCCAGTAAATATTTGGGCGCGTGGTGGTACAACAACTGCCACCGGTCAAATTTGAACGGGCGCTACGAAGGACCCGGAAGTGTATCTTCATATGCTACAGGTATTATTTGGTATACTTGGAAAGGGCATTATTACTCTATGCAGTCCTCAGAGATGTCCTTAAGCTTTTTGCCAGGTTGGCAAGTGATTTCTCCCACACCCAGCCCAACAGCCAGCCCCACGCCAAGCCCGACTTCGCACCCGACGGCATTCCCGACGCCGTACCCGACAGCCTTCCCGACTCCATACCCAACTGCCTTCCCGACGCCGTACCCGACGGCTTTCCCGACAGCCTTCCCGACGCCGTACCCGACCGACTTCCCGACGCTCAGCCCAACGCCCGGCCCGACGGCCGACCCGACGCTGTACCCGACGACTTTCCCGACACCGTACCCGACGGCCTTCCCGACGCCGTACCCGACGGCCTTCCCGACACCGTACCCAACGGCCGACCCGACGCTGTACCCGACGGCCTTCCCGACGCCGTTCCCAACGGCCTTCCCGACGCCGCACCCAACGGCCTTCCCGACAGCCGCCCCGACGCCGTACCCGACGGCCTTCCCGACGCCATACCCGACGGCCTTCCCGACGCCATACCCGACAGCCTCTAGTCCTAAGGCCGTCCCGGCGACAGTGTCGTCTGCAGTTGGCGATCCGCACCTGCAGAACATTCATGGTGAGCGGTTCGACCTGATGAAGACGGGCAGACACGTCTTAATCCATATTCCACGGAGGGACGATACGAACACCCTACTTCGTGTGGACGGGGACGTGCAAAGGTTGGGTGGGCAGTGCGCTGACATTTATTTCCAAGAGCTGAACATCACAGGGTCGTGGGCGAATGTGAAACGCGCTGGCGGTTTTCACTACCGCGCTCAGGGCGTCGGCCCCCAACGCTCCCGCTGGGTCAAGTTTGGGACAGTCCAAGTGAAGGTCGCCCACGGGCGCACGCAACAGGGCTTCAAGTATCTAAACCTCTACGTGAAGAACCTCGGTCGCGCAGGGCATCCAGTTGGAGGCCTACTCGGCGAAGATGACCACACCGAGGAGGCGATGCCGCCCCAGGCGTGCCACCATCGGGTCGCCTTGTAAGCAAGGCGTTGCGACTGCTATCCCAATGCTGGGGCCACAGCGTCTCTGAAGAAGCGCCAGAGCTGGCAGCACAGGTGCTTGATCGAGAGCAGTCGGGATTACGCACGAGCGTGGCCATTAGGACAACATTCATATCTTGAGGTGAGGGCATCAGCAGCTAGTGGCGGTGGCACGCGAAGTGGCCGGCCAGACAGCACGTGGCGGTGTACTTGGCTCCTCCTCCTTCTCCTCCTCCTGTTCCTCCTCCTGCTCCTCCGCTCCCTCACCGAACACGCCTGCGGCGAATCACCGCCGCTCCTTGCAGTTTGGAAGCGCCTGGGTGCCCGATTTTTGTGGCCAGAGCTCGGCCAAGTTATTGGATCATGTATTCCCCCAGCCGTTATGACAACGCTTCGGGGAACACGTGGGGGAGCGAAGAGGAGGAGGAGGAGTAGGAGGAGGAGGAGGAGGAGGAGGAGGAGGAGGGATCTCTTCGGGCTTTCCTGGAGGCTCTCTTGGAGGCCTCTTGGGGGCGTCGTGGGCTATCCTGGGGCCGTCTTGGGTCTATCCGGGGCCGTCTCGGATGCATCTTGCGGCCTTGCTGGGCTCTCTTGGGTGTTTTGGAGGCATCTCGGAGGCCATCTTAAGCCGTCTTGGCCGTCTGGGAGCGGGCAGACCGATGTTTCGGGGAACACGTGGGGGAGCGAAGAGGAGGAGGAGGAGTAGGAGGAGGAGGAGGAGGAGGAGGAGGAGGGATCTCTTCGGGATTTCCTGGAGGCTCTCTCGGAGGCCTCTTGGGGGCGTCGTGACTCTAAAGCGAGCTGAGGGACGTAAGGAGTGGAAGCGAGCGTGCGCCCGCGGCCGCGTCGGCTCAACCAGCCGGCCGCCAAATATGACTGTGCCTCACTGCGAGGCACACAATCGCTATCGAGACCAAAAGGATATTCCTATTGCTTAAGATGGCACATCCTCTCCTACTGGGACCATCGCTACTACGGTATAACAGAGCTGGAGCTTGGCTTCGCCTAAGGCGACGCTGCTGGCTGGGCCTCCCAGCCCCCTTTCAAACTTGGTAGCGGAGCTGGCCTATGGTGGTCAGCTCTAGCTCTACTCCTCACCATCCACGGCAGTATCTGGTGGACTACGGACATGGTGGAACATCAGGGTGCAGTGGGTTTGCGCGGAGGAATGTACATAGCTACGCAACATCGCCAGAACACTTGCAGCGATACCTCTGCTCAAGTGGAGGTCTCTTGCCAACATCCTACATCCCTGCGTTTCTACACTCCTGAAGTCCACCCACCTACTCCAACTTGGAATGTCTTCGAATATCTAATGCATGGAAACATGCGATATGAAATACTGCCGCCTCCAACCCCACGCAGACTTACGACTACCCAACAGAAGTCCCAACCGACTACATCCGACTACGACCTACGAGGCCATTGGATCGGTGTTACTATCTTCGGGCTCATATGGGTCGCGATCGGGTGCGCGGTAGGACACATGCGTGGCGGAGACGACACAAGAACGACCGGCCTTCACTGGGACCCAGCTGGTCAAGTATCTTTTCGCGAAGTCGACCGCGAAGTACATGCCTGGATCAACGTGACCACAGGCAATATGACGCCCTCCCAGCAGGCTGCAGCTCCGCAGCGAGGTTTGGGAGGTCTTGCACGGACCATAGCCATGAGAGTCCCTTCAGCATTTATCAACTTTGGCGTCACCATAGGTGGCCGCCACACTGACGGCGCCACCTATATCATGTTCCTCAGAAGCACGAAGTTCGAGAACTTAGAAGAGGAACGCCAAATCATCTCTGGTACGGCTCTCATTGATTTCCGAGTCCATGCGGGCGAACGCATCGACCAGACGTTGCCACGGTTTGAGATAGCCCGCTATGGTGCTGAAACAGCCGGCTTCAACATCCCCAATTTCCAAATCCTAACAGTGATTCTATTCAGAGCGCTTGGAGTGGGTCATCGCGTGCACAGCAACTCCTGCAGCCTCATAAACCACCACATGCCGAGAGACCAACAACAGTTTGATGCTTCACTCGAACGCATGAGGTCATATGCTCACAGTGCTGAGAGAACCCCCGGCAATATTGGTGGCACTTTCAGGCACGGTCTCCGGACCGAGACCTTTCACGTGGAGGCCAACGCAGGGCAACTTGCCAACAACGTCTGGAATGATGATCCACAACCAACTGAGACCACTACATTGTTGGCTCAGAATGGTGGAACGGCCTCGGGGTCGCGAGACTCCTGGGCCAGGCTTCGGAGACCGCCCGATACAGTTTCCCCTATGCAAGCCATGACCCTAATGGGCTCAGCGGAGCAACCCGCCGAGTCCGACTTCGATTCCGGTACTGATACCGATGCGTTTTCAGACGATGAGGTTACAGTCCTTGATTACTCTGATATGCCAACGTACCCTACTGAAGAGCAGCAAGCGCAATGGTTATTTTTAGGCAATCGAAAACACAAGGGCCGCTGGCGGAGATTCATGAAGAAACAAGTCCGAAAGGTAAGGCGTATCGCACGACGAGCACTTAAAGGAAAAGGCAAAGGTCGAAGTAAAAGTAAAGGTGAGCGTCGGCGATTGCATGGTAGAGGCATACTTGCATCCTTAGCATCGCTTACTGGACCCCAGTATGAAGACATGCTCTTAGATGCTGGCAGAAACCGCAGGCATACACCGGGAAAGACAGAGGGCGACGGGGATACCCAAGGGATGCCAACGGTAAAACTATGGAGTGCGACACATGCTACAGTATACAACATTTCCGACGCGAATGCCCCCAAGGTGATGGAAGAGGCAGGGGCCCGTCAATACATCTGGCTCAAACAGACTCCGACATGCAGCATGTTGATTGGGGGTCACTTTTAGCTGACCCCGCCGGTAGCTCAGCCACAATTGTTCATGTTGTGGCTGCCAGATATCTCAGCGCCAGTATGACCCTCGAGAATTACGCTGGCGAGCTGTTCGAGAAGGTGTTCACTGGCCACAACGGCATCGATTTGGCAGAATGGCTGGGTACACCCATCGCGGGGCAACCTGCTGATATTGAGTTTGTCGAGGTCGAGTATTTCCACATGCCCGCTGAAGGAGATTTTGGCGCGGCGGGGGCGCCCGTGGATTCAGAAGTTACCATTCCTGCAACAGACGAGGAAATGCGATTGATGCTTGATCCTCCGGTTATTGGAAATCTGACAGATACGGAATTCAAGTGATGGTGATCCCTTGCGGGGGAATCCGCGAGACGCTAGTGATCTATCTGAGCGTATTCATTATGAGTTTGGTCATAATGGAGGATTTGAAATGTGATTGCAGGGGTATGCTGAGAAGCTCGTTGAATGCCGTCATCCTGCGTTCCGTACTCTCTGGGCTCAAGTTCTTCTCTCGGGAAAAACGTTGAATGGCCCCGCGTGCCTACCGCGGCCCGTTGGCCCTGGTCGCCGCGTCGGCGCCTGGGCTGGCTTCGCTGCTGCGGCGCTCGGCGCAGTCCAACCTCCTCGCGGCGCTCTTCGGCGCCGAGGCCGGGCCGCAAGCGCCGTCGGGGCGGCGACCAGGGGCCCCGAGGGCCCACGCCCCGACGAGAGTAGCTGCCAGGTGGTCGCGCGCCCGCGGCGCCCAGACCTCGCCTGCCCCGAGTCGCCGCCGCGCGCCCCCTGCCCGGCACTGCAGTGCCAGGCGTGCCCGGAGATCCCGGGTGACCTCGACCAGCCCGACTACGTCGGCAGGGCCCTCAGCGCTGGCAACCTGGCGCTGACCGCGGCGGCGGGCTGCCGCCGACGCCGGCCTCGCCAGCTCGAGACGCCCGAGGCGCAGCCTGAGCAGGCCCCGCGCCCCACCGCGGAGGACGACGCCGACGCCGTCGCGCTGAGGGCCGAGGCGATCCGACAGAGAAGGGTCACTCGAGATCGGGCAGTCTTGCGCATTCTATAAGGAGGAATGGCGCAGGTTGGAGATTACATCATGATAGGGCACAACCTGGCGGAGGAGGAGGAGGAGGAGGGGGAGGGGCCGCTGGGAGCTCGGCACGGGTGCGAGGCAGGGGCTGTTGAGCGCAGTATCCGCTGTCACCCCCGGCGGCGACCGCTATGAGAGGGATGCCACCATCGGTGACGGTGTCTATTCTGATCACCGGATCGAGGATGAGCTCACGTGGGAAGCCCATGGCATCGGGGACAGTGCCATGATGCCGCTGGCGGGTGGTGACACCGCGGTGCTCATGCAGTTCGATCGGAAGGATCTTGACGACTACGTCAACGATGACCTGAGAGTGTTTTCAGACCGCTCTGTCGGCACGGGTCGGCACAGGGGCGTTCCTCGACGCCGTCGACCGCGTGGTGGACGCGCCGCCCGAAGGCGCCATCGAGCTCACGGGTCCGCGCGCGCGGGCATCGGCTGCAGGACTCCGCCCCCCGGCCTCAGACTCCTGCGACGCAGTCGGGGCACAGGAAGGGGGCCGCCAAGATGCAGAGCGGGGACACGTCGCAGCATGAGTGCGAGGCGCTCTCCCATATCCTGGAGGCGATGGCGCATGTGGACCAGCTCAGCGTGACCGTCGGCCAGTCGGGAGAGCTGATGGCTACGAGGCTCCGTCTTGCCGAGGACGCGCCCGCCCGCGCTAGAGCTGGGGGCGCGCCAGACTACAGAGCGGCTGACTGCTGCATGGGCTGGTCTTCGCGCAGGAAGGGAGTGGTCATCGACCCGCATTTGCGCCGCCTCGCCGCCGACAACCTCCGCGGCGAGTCGCAGGATGCCGCGGAGGCGAGCAAGGCGAAGGAGGAGCAGCGGCTGCGCGCGCAGACTGGCGGCGGCATAAAGGACGGCAGGAACGACAAGGAGCGCCCCTGATGGGCCGGGGGCGCGGGGCCTGGCCAGCCCGCGCCCCCTCTGGGGCCACTGCGCGGAATTCTGGACGAGATGAGGTTCGCCCTCGCACCTCGATGCGCGGGCTGCTCGGGCCAACAGCGTCTGGGCATCATCGGGTTCCTCGCCGAGAGCTGCTCCCTGTGCCTCACGTCCCGGCCACGCCTCCTACGACTCCTGGGGCCTCGCACTGCGCTCGGAAGAGGCTGGCTCGTCGCCGCGGGGTCGAGGAGAGGGTCAATGAGGCACTCGCGGTGTTGAATGAGATGAGCTGCGCGGGGGAGGGATCGGATGCCCTTCGGCCGCCCCTGGCGCAGCTCACCTCGCAGGAGGCGCTGCTCGAGCTGGCCTCCCCCCTGCCTTCACTTGCCAGCGCGCGCAGCCGCCGCGGGGCCGCCGACGAGCTCCTGGCTAGCGTGGTCGACTACGCCGGGGTCGACCAGGGTGCCGCAGCGAGGCCGTGCAAGCGCTCTCTGGTGTCGATACCAGCGGTGCGGGAGAGCTCTGCTCCACTGACCTCGGTGGCTGGTGAGCTGGAGAGGGAGTTGCTACAGCGGCCAGCAGGAACGATGCCGGCACATTCGTACGACGCGGGTTGGGGGTCTGAGAATATGAGTTTGATCAAGCCCTACATGGACGAGGTTTTGCGCGCGGACAGGTCCCTCTACTTGACTTTCCTCGAGGACCTTTGCGGCGCTTCGCTCATTTCTTGGGCGCGCCAACCTCGAGAGATGTGCGCGCCATTTTTCGTTGCCAAGGAGAGCGGCTACCTCCGCGTGGTAATGGGCTGCCGCGTCAGCAACCTCCACTTTCGCCCTCCCCCGCATCTCGACATGGGGACGGGGGGCGTGGTCGAGGTTGGAGAGGCCCGAAGGTGCGGGCCCGCTGTGCACTGCTGCTGCGGACGTGAAAAACTATACCATCCGGACCTTCAGCCCTTCTTTTGCTTGACGCCGATCTCGGTCGGCGAGGCGCGGGCTTTCATGGAGGGTCTAGAAGGGCTGGGCGATCCCGAGCCTATATGGCCCATGCTTCGGTCGGCCCCCATGGGTTGGGGCCGGGCGTTCTTCTTCGGCCAAAAGATTCCCGAGAACCTCATTGACGAGGCGCTGAAGGGCTTCACTCAGTTCCCCTTGTTGAGGGGCGTTGGGCCGATACCTGACGTCGCTTCGGAGCTCGGCGCGCTGCCGCACTGCGACAACCACAGCGTTTTGGGCCTGGACAAGGGCGCCGTGCAGTTCGCCAAGGAGAGGGTGGTATCCCACCTGAGGTCAAGAGGCTTCCCCGTCCACGAGGAGGTCGACGCCTCTGTGAAGGTCACCTCCCTGGGCCGATGCATCGACGGCGACAGGTGGATCGTCTACAACAAGCCGGGGCGGGCAGAGCGGCTCCAGAAGGTTCGCAGCGTCATCGAGAGCGGCGCCCGTCTCTCGGGCCACGCAGTTCAGAGGTGGGTTGGACATGTCGTCGATTTATTTTTGATTCGTCGGGAGGGCCTGGCCGCCCCGAGGTCCACCCACGGTGTCATTGGCAAGGTTGGTTCGGGCAGGCAACGAGCGTGGCCGTCTCTACGCCAGGAGGCCCGCTGGGTGAGGGGCCTCATCGGAGCCTGCGCTGCTGACCTGAAGATGAGTTAGCATCAACAAGCGGACGCCTGCGAGACTGGAGCAGGCGTGGCGTCGGCATCTCCCACCTTTCCAGTGTCGCGGCAGTGGGTCGCGTCTCAGGGTGTTGGCGATACCGAGGCAAGCATCCATTGTCACAACCCCGTCGCAGCGCTCTTGGACAAGTGGACGTCTTCTCGGACCCCAGCTCCGTCATTGCAGATGTTTCAGGAGGCTCCCTGGAGATGCTCGAGATGGACCCGCACTTCCAGGAGGTCCCTGATAACATGCTCAAGGAGCTCTGGAGGGGGGACATCTCCGCGAGGTTCAGGAAAGCCGAGGGATGCCCACTCTGTAGGCGAAGCCTACAGTCTTGGGAGTCGGGCGCGGTCTCAGGTCTACCAAGGGGTTCAAGAGGTGCCACCTCATCATGGGGGACCAGTTGGGCAACACCGTGGCCTTTGGGAAGTCCAGGGCTGCGTCCTCATTCGTCGTGCCTCGGCTCTGGCGTTAGCTAGCTGCACCAAGTGGCATTTTCGGCGGGTACCTTCAGAGAAGAACACCGCTGATGGCCTCTCACGACGATGGAAGGGAGACCCGCAAGCTTCGCACGGCCACGCCCCCGGCACGCGGGAGGCCGTCCGCCCGCCGCCTATGCCTCGAGTGTCCGACGAGGTCGACCGCGGCGAGGGGCGCGGCGCGGGCGACGGTGGCCACGCACTCGGCGGGGGTCACATTGCGACTGCATCGCGAAGCCGCTGGGGCGCCGCTGCCACAACTGGGGGATCGTCTGCCACGGAGGGGAGTTCGGTGTCTGGTGGCGGCTGCCAGCCGAGGCTCCAAGCGAGCTGTGACCTTCGGCGCTTTCGAGCCGCGGGTTGCGGCAGGCCGGGTCTCCATTCTGGAATCGCATGCCATTACGAGCACGACGGTGGGCCTCTACAGTGCTTGGTTCAAGTGGCTCCTGGCTTTTGCGACCTCGATCGGGTGCACCCTGGACTCCGCGAAGAGCGTCGACGCTGCCATGGCGGACTTAGCGGACTACTTGTTTCTAGAGGGGTTCGAGAAGGCCGACCCATTCAAGGCGTGCGCCGCGGTGGCCTGGCATCCTGCGGTTTTGTCACCATGGGGAAGGCTGCGGCTCCCGCGTTTCCAGTGGGCGCTGATGGGCTACGCCAACCTCGGTCCGGGCGTCGCGCTGGAGCCCATCCCTTGGGAGATCGCGCGTTGGATCGCCCGGCAGTTGGGCGAGAAGCAGAACTCGGTCGTCGCCTGTCTGGCCGCCCTTGTGATGTTCACCGCGCGCCTGCCGCCGATCGACCTGCATTCCCTGATGGGCGAGGTCCTCGCGCAGCCGTGCGCCGGCAGTCGGAGGTCGGCGCTGAACCTCCACCCGGCCGCGCGCGGCGGCAAGTACAAGGTCGGCCTCTGCGACGAGAGCATCCTGCTGGGCGCGAAGTACCTCCCAGGTCTCGGTGGCGCGGGGGCAGTGCTCAAGACGGGCAACCCTGTGAAGATGCTGTTCGACCTCGAGGCGTCGGCCCTCCCGGCGCTCTGGAAGGCCGCGATGCGTCGGCTGAGCTTCCCCGCCGACGCCAAGTACGCGCAGGGCCAGCTGCGGCGCGGCGGCCCCTCCCACGATCGCCTCGTGGGTTGCCGCGCGCTGCCGGAGATCCAGCGCCGAAGCCGCTGGCTGGCCGAGGGCGCGATGAGACGCTGCGAGGCGAGCGCGCGGGTCCAGCACTAGTGGGCTCGCTTCTCGGACGACCAGCAGGACCTCGCCCGCCTGGCAGTCGCCCGGATCCAACGTCGGGTGAGCTCGCAGTCCCTGCCTGTCGTCAGCGGGCTCTCCAGCCGTGCTACGTCCTCGACCTCTACGCGGGTTGCGCGGGCGTCAGCCAAGCGCTCGCACGCAAAGGCTTCGAAGGCTCCGCGTGGGACACCCTCTACAGCCAGGAAGCCGATCTCGCGAGCCAAGACAAGATGAGGTGGTTGGTCAGGCGCGCGACGCAGTGCAACATCGCACAACATCGGCGCCAGTTGGTCGTGGCAGGTTGGAGGCAGGGCCTTGCGGCTCGCTGCCCCGGAGCGTGGATCGCCATCGCCTGTGCGACTTGGCCCAGAGTTCGTGACTTGCCGCCAAGACCGAGGATCCGTGACGACAATGAGAATTTGCTTGGCTTTCCTAACCTGTCCGCTGTAGACAAACGAGACGTTGAGCTTAGCAACATAATGGTATATTCGCTGTGTATTTTCCTTGAGGCGGTGTTGCCTCTGCGCCTTCCTGTCGCCATTAAGAACCCTCGCCTGGCTCTGGCTTCGCGCCAGAAGAATTCGTTTGTGGAAAGTGCTCTCGGATGAAATCCTCGCGTTTGATCAGTGCGGCTTCGGGGCCCGCTGGAGAAAATCAATTGGTCTGCTAGCGTGGCACTTCCCCGAATTTGCTCAGTACTCTCGCCGGCGCACTGGGTGTAGAGGTCCGCGCAGTTTCACGGGGCTTCCTCATGTGCAGTTGCATGGCAAGGACTCCTCAGGCAACTGGCGCACGAGCGGCTCGCAGCAATATCCAGACGACCTGTGCGAGCAAAGTGCCAATGCTTTTCGAGATGCTCTCGATAACCGTTTTTGAAGGGCAGGCGTGGCCTCCTGCCTTGAGGTGATGCGGGCTTGCGCCCAGGACACTTCTTGGAAGTGGGTGCGGGATTGTTTCCAGGTCTGTCGCATCGGCTCTCTCGCGGTTCTTCCGCTCACCAGCCCAGCGTCGGCCTGAAAGACTTGTCAGCCTGGCAGGAAAATGATAGCTGCGAAGCATGAAACGTGATTGCACGGGTATGCTGAGAAGCTCGTTGAACGCAGTCACCTTGCATTCCGTGCTCTCTGGGTTCAAGTTTTCTCTCGGCCCGCCATCCGCCCCCTTCTCCACAATCTCAACTTTAACATTCTTGGAATGTCACCTGGGATTGTTTCCAGGTCTGTCGCATCGGCTCCCTCGCGGTTCTTCTGCTCACCAGCCCAGCGTCGCCCTGGAAGACCTGTTAACCTGGCATGAAAATGAGAGCTGCGAAGCATTGTTGCTTCAGATCGGCCCATGAGCCGCCAGAAGCGATCGACAAGCCACCCAGTCTGAAGGAAGAAGAATTATCGCGACGACGACGAGGACGAAGAACGGGAAGATAGTGGCCGCATGATACGTCGCGGTCGGGTTCCCAGTCGCTCACCTGATCGTGCGCGCGCCCGCTCCAGTGGCGCTCTCTCTAGTGGTCTTCAGCACCCTCGCCCCCCTGATGCGGGAACTCCAGACAGGCCCCGCCATGGCAGGCAAATAGGCCTGCCACTCCCCCGAGGAGGGGGCGTTTGCGGGGGCACCCGCCTCAAGATGAT